CCACCCTCCCCGTTCGCCTCCCGTCCCTCCCCGCCGCGTTATTAATATCCAGCCCCAAAGGTGCGCCCAGCCCTCCCCGGCCGCCCGTTAACCCTTGGGGGCCCGGAGAGCCGGCGGTCGGGGGGCGGTGGGGAATGGTGGCGTCCTGGGGGGGTTCAGGTGCTGCAAAGCAACATCAGCGCCCCCCCGGGACCCCCTCAGCCCCAGCGGCGGAGGGGAAAAGGCAGCAGGACCTCCCTGCGCGGCCGGATCCCGATCCGGGACCCCCCGGTGCTGGGCATCCCCGAGGGCCGGGACCCCCGCGGGGGTCTCCGCTTCGCGATCGGGGTCTTCTGAGGGGGCTCGGGGGGGCAGAGAGGTGGGTGTTGAGTGCGGGGGGGGCACCCAGCACCCCTGGGCGCCATGAATACCCGCAGCCCGGAGCTGAAGGGGTTACAGTGCTGGGGTGCGGGTGTCCCTCGGGGTGTCCCCGGTGCCGAGCAGAGCGGGCAGGATGGTCCCGGGGAGCGCAGGGGCTGAGCCCCCCCACCCCGGCTGGTACCTCCGCGACGAGGGCAGCGGGACGCTCTACAAGCGGGGACGGCTCCTGGGAGAGGTAAACCCCCCGAACTGCCCCCCCTGAACTGCCCCTCGCCCGCCCAGCGCCCCCTCCCCGCTGGGCACCCAGGGAGGGCTACACGCCCGCAGCCCCCGGGGGATCCCCGAGGTGTGCCGATCCAAGGGGGATCCACCCCATCCTCTCTGGAGAAGGGGAAACTGAGGCACGGGACTGAGCCCCAGCAGCTGCGGTCGCCCCACAGGGAGGGGCAGCTGGGTGGGCACCCCAACCCCCGGTGCCAGTCCCCACGGGGTCACTCGCAGGGCGCCTTCGGCCGCTGCTACCAGGTGACAGAGGTGACCAGCGGCCGGCTCTACGCGGCGAAGGTCATCCCGCGAGCCCGGCTCGCTGCCCCGGGCATCGGGGACAGGGTGAGTCCGGAGGGACACTCCCTGGGGAGAGGGGACAGTGCCCGTGGGGTCCCCGGGTGTCTGGATGCCGGGTGGGTGCGTGCCGGGGGTCCCCGGTCCCCGAGGGTCCCCCCGGGGTTGCTGTCGGTGCAGGTGGAGCGGGAGCGGGAGCTGCAGTGTCACCTGCGCCACCGGCACATCGTGCGCCTGCACGGGCACTTCGCCGACCGCGGCCACCTCTGCCTGCTGCTGGAGCTCTGCAGCCGGGGGGTGAGCTCTGCACCCCGAAACCGAGCCCTTGAACCCCGAAACCGACCCCTTGAACCCTGAAACCGAGCCCTTGAACCCCGAAACCGAGCCCTTGAACCCCGAAACCGAGCCCTTGAACCCCGAAACCGAGCCCTTGAACCCCGAAACCGAGCCCTTGAACCCCGAAACCGAGCCCTTGACCCCCGAAACCGAGCCCTTGAACCCCGAAACCGAGCCCTTGAACCCCGAAACCGACCCCTTGAACCCTGAAACCGAGCCCTTGAACCCCGAAACTGAGCCCTTGAACCCTGAAATAATGCACCGCAAAATTGAGCCCCTACACCCCCAAACCGAGCCCCTACACCCCCAAACCGAGCCCTTGAATCCTGAAACCGACCCCTTGAACCCTGAAACCGACCCCTTGAACCCTGAAACCGAGCCCTTGAACCCCGAAACCGACCCCTTGAACCCTGAAATAATGCACCCCAAAATTGAGCCCCTACACCCCCAAACCGAGCCCTTGAACCCTGGAATTCTGCACCCCAAAACTGAGACCCTAAACCCCCAAACCGAGCCCCTGAACCCCGAAACTGAGCCTAAACACCTCAAAACTGAGTCCCTGCATCCCAAAACCGAGCCCTTTAACCCTGAATCCGAGCCCTTGAACCATGAAATTCTGCACCCCAAAACTGAGCCCCTACACCTCCAAACCGAGCCCTTGAACCCCAAAACTGAGCCCCTGAACCCCAAAACTGAGCCTAAACACTCCAAAACTGAGCCCTGAACCCCAAAACTGAGCACCCTCAGGTCGGGGCTTCAGCAGGGCCCAGCCTGATGCCTCACTCTGCCCCCAGCCCCTTTCACTCCATCCCCCCCATTGTCCCCAGTCCCTCCTCGCTGTCCCCAGCCGCTGTCGCTCTGTCCCCAGCCCCTGTCACTCCATCCCCCCCATTGTCCCCAGTCCCTCCTCGCTGTCCCCAGCCGCTGTCGCTCTGTCCCCAGTCCCTCGCCGACATCCTGCGGGCTCGGGGCCGCCTGACGGAGCCGGAGCTCCGGTACTACCTGCGGCAGCTGCTCTCGGGGCTGCAGTACCTGCACGGCCACGGCCTCGTGCACCGCGACCTCAAACTGAGTGCGTGGGGCTGGGGGGGACTCAGGGGTGACCCCAGGGTGGCCGAGGGTGACATCATTCGCGTCCCTCCCTCCACAGGTAACTTCTTGGTGACGGAGCGGATGCGGGTGAAGATCGGGGACCTGGGGCTGGCGCAGCGGGCGGCGCCGCCCGGGCGGCGCTGGGGGTGAGCGGGGGGCTGCAGGGAGGGGGACTGGCCCTGCCCGTGTCCCCGGGGGTCACCTCGGCTGTCCCCCCCGCAGGGCACTCTGTGGGACACCCGGTTACCTGGCCCCGGAGGTGCTGGACCGCAGGGGACACGCGGCGCCCTCGGATATCTGGGCCCTGGGCTGTGCTGTGTGAGAGGGGCTGCGGGAGGATGAGGGGGGAGAGGGGAGATGGAGGATGAGGGGAGATGGAGGGAGGATGGGAGAGATGGAGAGAGGGCAAGGGGAGATAGAGGGAGGGAGGGCAAGGGGATATGGAGAGAGGATGAGGGGAGATGGAAGGTGGGATAAGGGGAGATGGAAAGAGGGCGAGGGGAGGGGAGATGGAGGGAGGATGGGAGAGATGGACAGAGGGTGGGATGAGGAGAGATGGAGGGAGGACAGTGGAGCTGGAAGGAGGGTGGAGAGGGTGGAGGGAGGACAGAGCAGCCAGAGGAAGGACAGAGACCCTGCAGGGAGCCCAGGGACAGAGCAGAGAGCACAGGGACCCCGCAGGGAGCCCAGGGACAGTGCAGGGAGCCCAGGGACCCTGCAGTGAGCCCAGGGACCCTGCAGGGAGCCCAGGGACCCTGCAGTGAGCCCAGGGACCCTGCAGGGAGCCCAGGGACAGTGCAGGGAGCACAGGGAACCTGCAGGGAGCCCAGGGACCGTGCAGGGAGCCCGAGCCCAAGGACAGTGCAGGGAGCCCAGGGACAGTGCAGGGAGCCCAGGGACCGTGCAGGGAGCCCAGGGACAGTGCAGGGAGCACAGGGACCGTGCAGGGAGCCCAGGGACCCTGCAGGGAGCCTAGGAACCGTGCAGGGAGCACAGGGACCCTGCAGGGAGCCCAGGGACGCTCCCGGCCGCTCCCCCGCAGGTACACGGCGCTGAGCGGCCACGCCCCGTTCGAGGCTCGCCGCCGTTCGGAGCTCTACCGGCGCATCCGGAGCGGCCGGTACCCGCTGCCCCCCGGGCTGTCGCCCCCTGCCCGCGCCCTCATCGCCCACATGCTGCACCCCGAGCCCGCGGCGCGGCCCAGCCCGGCGGGGCTGCTGCGCCACCCCTTCCTCACCCAGGTGCGGGGCTGGGCGACGCGGGGGACACGCAGGGACGCTGAGGGACACGGGGGGGTCACGGCCTGTCGCTCCCCAGGGTTTCACACCCCACAGGCTGCCACCCCGCGCCTGCCACTCCGTGCCCATCTTCGTGGGACAGGAGCGGCTGTGCTGGATGCTGCGGGGGTGTGGCTGTGTCGCTGTCACCCCTGCGGGTGGCAGTGCCCCTCCCCAAAGGACCCGAGCACGAAGATCCGCGGAGGAAAACCTTTATTAGTGCTGGGAACCGTCTAAAATCCAGTCATGGAAACAAGCGGGGTGGGACGTGACCAGTACGAACGGCACACACACACACACACCAGTTTGCCCTTAAAACTGTTAACAGGAAAAAACAACCCCCAAATCCAAACCCCAAAATAAAAAGGAGCTCTCTTCCCTGCCAGCCTGGGATGGGGATGGGGAGGTGCAGCTCCATGTCCCGGGACTGCAGAGGTGCCAGGTCACCCCCAGTGGGCAGTGGGGACACTGGAGAGGGGACAGATGGAGCTGTGGGCTGGGAAGGAGGGAGGAAAGTGCGTGGTTTCCCTGTTCAGCTTCACTTCTCTCTCTCTCGGGAGAGAAGAGTCGGAGAAAACGCTGAAAGCTCGGTAAAACAGGACACTAAAAACACCCAGGGGCAGCGCGGGCCGGCACCGCCCGGCCATGCCTAAAACACGGACAGGAGGGGACAAGGACAAGATGCTCGAGGTGGCCCCAGCAAAGCACCAAGGAGCCGCTTCCGGACCCGCCCAGAAGGGACGGGCCGGGGGTTGTCACCGGCCTTCCCGTGTCACCAGCGGGGCCTCGGGGAGGGAGGTGACAGCAGCGACTTTGTCTGCACTGGGGGGAGCTTTGTCCCAGCGCCAGAGCCGCGCCGGTGACAAAGGACAGGGAACAGGAACAGCCTGCAGTGGTGGGATGGTGGCAGTGAGCTGGGGCACTCGGGCTGTCACTGGTGTCCCCAAACCACGGCAATGTGGCAGGGATGGATCCCACAGCCCTCAAATGGCCTCACACATTGCACACCCGAGGCTGGAAGGGGTGGGACACAAACCCCAGCTCCCCCTGAAGCTCCTCATCCCCCAAGGAAGCCACCCCAGACTTTTCCCAAGCCGGGAGCAATCTCAGCCTTTGCCCTCGGGGTCAGGAACCTTGTGCCACAACACCCTGGGTCCCGGGGCACACTGGGGACAGCCCGGGGCAGGTGGCAGAGCCCGGGCTGGCTGCTGTCCCTCCCCGTGGCGCCGCAGCCCGGCCGGCAGCTCAAGGCCTGGCACGGAGCCCAGGGGATATTTTTATCCCGGCATTTGTGTTGTTTGAAGCTGTCAGCTCGGTGTTTTCAGTCATAAACACAACCCTGCCCTGTCCCAGCTCGGCTCAGAGCTGACAGCAACAGCAACACCCTCAGCTGCCACAGCCCGAGCCCCTGGCTGGCCTGGGGTGGCCCCAGGATGACCCTGAGATGGCCCTGGGACATCTGGCAGCACACAGAGGCCACGTCCCCAAACCCCCTGTTCTGGAACACCTGCACTGGCCACCTCTGTCCCCCTGCCAGGCAGGAAGGTCCCCGAGGGGCTCAGGGCAGGATGTTCCAGTGAATTCCCTGTTTTGAGCTCTGGGATCTCCCCATCTTTACTGCAGAGCCAAGAGCTGCCCAAAGATGGGGAGAGCGGGACTGTCCCTGCCCTGGTGACAGATGTCTGACCCGGGGCACAAACCAAGCCAAGGTGGCAACAACAACAACAACGAGGCTTCTTAAAAGAGAAGGGATTTAAAAACAAAGATTCAAGTTTGGGAACTCCTCTCCCCCTCCTCCCCGGCTCCAAATGAGGCCAAAACTCACCCTTGTGCAGAAATCAGGTTCAAAGTTCAGCCAATTGGTGGGGGTGACCCACAGCCCCGGGGTGACAAGGACAGGTCACCTCTGTGTCACCACAGAGCCCCGGCCCAGGGCTGAGCCTGGCTCCCAAAGCCCAGGAGAGGCTCAGAGTGAGACCCTGGAGGGGCAGCTCCAGGCAGGGGTGGCCCGGGGGGCGTTTGGTGACAGGAACCAGGCGAGGGCAGGTGCGTGGGCAGGAGCTTCCCCCCCTGCCAGGGCCGAGCAGCACCTCAGGCTGAAGGCACCGAGTTGCTCTCCACCTTCAGTCCCTTGCTGGCCAGGAAAGCATCCTGCTTGGGCTCCCTGCCCAAGAACCTCCTCAGCATGTCCGCCGCGTCCACGGAGCCGCCGGGATGCAGGATGCACTTCCTGTAATCCATGCCCACCTGCGGGCACACACGGGGGCAGGGCTGGGACACCCGTCCTGGCTGTCACATCCCTGTCACACACTCAGAACCCTGTGCCTACCTTGCAGTTCATGATTCCCTCCTGCTTGAAGCGGGTGTGGAACATGTCCATGGAGTACACCTCGCTCCAGAGGTAGCCGTAGTACTGGGCGTCGTAGCCCCCGGCCAGGTGGCCGAAGGTGGCCGGCATGTTCGTACCTGAGGGGACACAAGGGGTTAAAAGAGGGACTCCCCACGGATAAACCCCCTCCAGTGCTGTCCCAGCAGGCGCTGGCTCAGCTGTTCACAACCCAGGGGACAAAGGGAGGAACTTTCCAGGCTTTTCCGGAGCCAGCAGAAACTGTCCCCACCCGGGAGGAACTTGCTGAGCCACCCCTCCAGTGCTGTCCCAGCAGGCGCTGGCTCAGCTGTTCACAACCCAGAGGAGGAACTTTCCAGGCTTTTCCCGGAGCCAGCAGAAACTGTCCCCACCTGGGAGGAACTTGCTGAGCCATGTGTGCAGGGCAGGCTGAGAGGGACAGGAGGGTGGCACCGCGTACCTGGGGTGGCAGGGACACCCAGCACCTCTTCACAGAGCTGGGCAAACACCTCCACGGGGTCAGCCTTGGTCTGGGTGTGCAGCGCCTGGTCCACCTTGGCCAGGACGATCTGGCGCAGGTTGAAGAGCCCTGTTCCCAAAAGGACAAGGAGGGAAACTGAGGCTGGAATGCCTACAGGAATGCCACTGAAGTGGGTGGCACCTCTTTGTCCCTTTCACGTGCCACATCACTTTCTCTCTTCCCACATCTGTGGGTTCCTTCCCCCCACCCCCTCAGAACGCCAGCACCACGGCGAGCAAGGAAAAGCCTTTTTTGTCCCCAGCCAGGTCATGGAGTGTCCCCTTCCCATCCCCATGCCCAGGGGACATCCATTCCCTCCCACCTGTGTTTGCCTGCCGGGATTTAATGAGTTTCTCCAGCAGCTCATCCGGGATGGGGCTCCCTGTCTTGTAGTGCCTGGACATGCGCAGCAGCGGCTCCTTCTCCCACACCCAGTTCTCCAACATCTGGGACGGGGCCTCCACGAAGTCCCGCTCCACGTGTGTCCCGCTGAACATGGCAAACTCCGCCTGGGGGACACGGCCAGCTCGGAATTCCACAGGAAAACGGGATGGGGGCAACGGCATGCCCTGTGGCAGCACAGGGAGGCCTCACCTGAGAGCACAGCTGGTGCATGACGTGCCCAAATTCATGGAAGTAGGTCTCCACCTCGTCGTGCTGCAGCAGGGAAGGGGCGTCCGGCGTGGGCTTGGTGAAATTGGCCACCATGGCGGCCACCGAGATTTGGCGGCTGGAGTCCGGCAAGAGGCAGCCGGGCTGGAGGCCGAAGCAGGCGGCGTGTCCGTACTTCCCCTCCCTGGGGAGGGACGGGAGGCTCAGGGATCCTTCCAAAAGCCAGACACAGCCACGGCCTCCCCCACTGTGATCCTCAGAGGAGCCCCCAGTGACCCCCCTGGTGACCCCTCAATGACATCCCTGCCCCAGCACATGGCGCTTCCTCCACTCCACACAGCTGGGAGCAGGAATCTCCTCCTCCTCCTCCTCCTCCTCAGGCTCTGCACCCCTGCCCCAGCCCTGCTCCTGGATTTCCCAGGCCTCACCGTGGGTACAGATCCAGGTAGAACTTCCCGATGGTCTCCCCAGAGGACGCGTCCTTCACCGTGTAGAGCTGCACGTCCTCGTGCCACACCTGAGCCTTCTCCTCCAGGTGGAAGGTGAGGCCCAGCAGCTCCTGGTAGATGGCCAGGAGGCCCGTGGTGACCACCTGCATGGGGAAATACTCCTTGAGCAGGTTCTGGTCCACGCTGTACTTGGTCTCCTCCACCTGGTTCATGTAGTAGCGCATGTCCCAGGCGTTGATGCGGTTGTCGAACTCCAGCCCGCGCTTCTCGCACTCCTTCTTCTTCAGGTCCAGGATCACTGCCCTCTCCTTCTCCCCCAGGGGCTTCAGCTTCTGGGCCAGCTCATCTGGGGAAGCCAGGCAGGGTTAGGATCAGGGATCAGAGCAGCACACCCGGCCCAGGACGGCCCTGCTCGGCCCCAGGACGTACCCAGGAACGTGGCCACCGTCCGGCTGCTCTTGGCCATGTTCATCTCCAGCACAAAGTCAGCGTGGGTGCTGAAGCCCAGCAGATTGGCCTTCTGAGCCCTCAGGTCCACCAGCTCCTTCAGGATCAGGCAGTTCTCCTGCAAGGCAGAGAGAACACAGAGGAGAAGTGTGGAAAGAAACACAAATCCCAGGGGAGACCCCCTGCGTGCCCTGCTCAGTCCCACCGACCTCTTTGCACCTGGAGTTGAACATCTCCTCCACCTTCCTCCTGGTCTCGGGCACGTAGCACTTCTTCAGCAGGGGGAAGTAGTGTGGGTACTTCAGGGTGACCTTCAGCTTCCCATCCTCTGTCTTCTCCAGGGAGTTCAGGAAATCCTCAGGGAGCCCCCCTGGGAAAAGAGCAGGCAGGGGCTGGGGGTGAGCCCAGGATTCTCCAGGAATGCTCTGGGATCAGTCAGTGCAGGCATTCCATACCTAATTCCTCTCTGGAGAAGGGCAGGAAGGTGGTGTCCTCGTTGAGGTTCTTGTTGAAGTCGATGCACAGCACGCTCAGCTTTTTCTTGATAGCTTTGATTTTCTTCAAAACGCAAAAAATCAGAGAGAAGTCAGATCTGGGGGGTGCACTCAGGCTGTCCCCACCCTGCTGAGCTGCCAGCACTGAGCCTGGCCTTGGCTCTGAGCCAGCACAAAGGTGCACAATTAATGATGGTGAGCCAGCATTAATTGTGCACCAAAAAAGCCCAGAAAGGCTCCCTGGGGTCACACCTGGCAGGGTTCAGCAGCCTCAGCAAGGTCCTGCCTGTTCCCTGCTGCCTCAGGAGCTGCAGGTGCTGCACTAACAACCTCCCCTCTCCTTATTTCACATTTTCTTCTGGTTTTAACCCCGTTTTGAGCTCCTCTGCTGGTGCATGGTAAGAGAGGGAGGCCTCTGAACAGCTCAGCCCCCTCAGCCCAACTCCAGCCTTTGGCACGTGGGAATTTGGTGCTAATTCCCCAATTTCACCT